AAATAACACTTCTGCACTTAGAATCCTAGCGCGACTCTGATCTCACTGATAGGAGTTTGTTGAGCTTAACTCCATTCCAAGAGAAACATTATTAAACAGAATTACATGTGTCAGAGTTAAAGATGGTATTGGTGAAACCAGAACCATCACCTTTGCATCTCTTTTACATTAAGATTACACATTTGCCACTCATTACATTACCTAACACGTGGTTTGTGTTTTCAAAATGCCTGTCCTTTTCCATGTATTTCACAAGGATGCTTTGCTTCGGGGATTTAAAATATTGATTCAATATTCCCTCTCTTCTCAATTAAAATAATAGACTTGTCCATGTTATGCACGGTCTAGAGATATTTTAAACAGCCAACTGGGAAAAACATAAATTATATTAAGTTACAAGATTAGGAAAAAAAAAATGGGAATCTGTCCAGGAAAATGACGTGCTGGGTAAAGTAAATAGGTATATTTATAGACTTCAGAGCTCTGAGCTATTTCCCAGTTTTACAGGCTGGAAATGAGAATGTTTAATGTAGGTTTTCAAAACAAGATAATCCTAGAAGATACAGATAACAAATGTGCAAGTTTTTTGTTACTAATACAAACACTAAAAATATTATGAAAAACACGAAGCTAGAACCATTTTGCTTCCTTTTACATAAGCGGACTAAAAGGAATGGTATTTACAATATCATTTCTTTTAAAAGTTTCATTTGTAAGAGTGAGGGATATGTTTATAGCACCTGGTGTCCCGACAGATCTAAAAGTAATTCACCGTTCTGGGAAAACTGCAAAGTACCTAAAGAGATGCTGCCTGCATACTTACACCACATTCCATAGTATGGCACTATTTCTTTTTAGCCAGGCCTTTCCCAGATTAATTATAGAACTTGGCATCCGCGCAGCTAAAAATCCTGACATCCATCCAGATCCGTCTGCTGTGGGGAACTGAAGGAGCAGCAAATGCACTGCCCTGACTCTGCAAACGCTGCGAATCGTAGCCTTCAGGCCCATGGAGAATCACCTATTCAACATCTGTTATAACAAGACTTAATAATAATTGTTTACAACTTTGGAATGCTATGAAACAAAGACTTAGGAACATAAACAGTAAATGTTACTACTTAAAGCTGATTTCTGGATAAACACTGTTAAGAGGTGTAATGGATGAAAAGAAATAGTCTATTGTCCTTTCAATACTAATGGCTTTCCAAAGCATACTTCTGACCTCTATCTATGCTCAATCTGTTTGTTTGGTTTTTTTAATTATTATGAGACTGACTGAACAGAACACTCCACTTTTAGCACCGGCTTGAGGTGCACAGTGTTAGGGATGCAGGAAATAATGAACATTCAAGGCTTTTCACAGATCACTGCAATTAATTATAAGTGGGTCCTACACAGCCCAGAAAAAACATAGACTTCCATGTATAAAACCACAGTGAAGAGTTTCTTTTCTAAAAGGTACCAAAGATAGTGTGTCTGTAACATCTTTGAGCACGACAGAATCAGTAACTTTGGCTAAACTGCAAAGCAAAAGTTCTTCGTAACAAATTCATTGTGAGCTGAGAAAGGCAAATGCAGAGCAAGCTCACAGCAGCTCAACAATGCAGGAGAGAAGACTCACATGGAAGTCATTACCAGCACTGCAAAATATAGTTACATATGTTTATATGGTAAAATCCATAAGCTGCTTGAAAGGGACCTGGACTTCTACAGTTCTTGGATGAGAAGTGCAATAAGAAAGGAAAAGGAAATCAAGCAACTAGATGGAAAAATCCCAAAAGCATTAAAAAGATAGAACAATGACAACAAACATTAAATCCTAGGCACATCCAAATCGACACTTATGATGCCTAAAAGGAGTTTAGCAGCAAGCTTCCATTGCGAATCAACCCTTGCTGAGTAACACCACCAAAAATAAATGGAAGGACTATCTAACACTTCAACTACACGTGAACCTAAGTACAGGCCATAGCAACATGAGTGAAGTTCACCCAGAGGGTGGTGAGGCACTGGAACAGGTTGCCCAAGGAGGCTGTGGATGCCCCATCCCTGGGGGCATTCAAGGCCAGGCTGGATGTGGCTCTGGGCAGCCTGGGCTGCTGGTTGGCAACCCTGCCAGTGACAGGCAGGTTGAAATTGTTTGATCTTTGAGATCCTTTTCAACCCAGGCCACTCGATGTATGATTCTATGAAGTTTGATCCTTACCACATTTCCCTGCTTCTCACCGAGGCTACAGGATGCAACCTACCAAGCATGCCTTTGAGAGCACGTAACATGCTTCCTTCCCTCAAGGCAACTGATTCTTTCAGTTTGAGGACAGATTCTATGTTACTCAGATAATATACAACTACTCAATTTTTTATTTTGGTCAATATTGGTTGGTCAATAACTTCAGTCTGGGTATAAAACGTAGTTTTAAAATCCAGCTTTGGACTTATTCCTTTCTAATAAGCCTTTCTGTGGAATGGATTCCTATAATAATGGACAAGCATTAATTAGCTCTCCAAATGGCTAGTGAGGCCATTTACATAATTTCTATAATTTCTGCACTGCCACAGAGCAGAAGATAACTGTAACACTAAAACTAATTCAAAAGGTTTCACGAATTTTGAATGCCCAGGTTGAGACAGGTTCTGTTCTTTCAAGGTACTCAGCACTTCTGTGGCCAAAACACAATTTTCCACAGCCTTTATATGCCACCATGTCAGTACAGTTTAAAAGAAAATGACAGCTATGTTGTTTACTTGGCTACCCTAAATTGAAAAGTTTTTCTACCACTTCAGCTGAGATTTCAGCTTACATTATACCAAAAGAACTATGCCATGATAATTACTCAGCTCCCCATGTTCCACTGTTTTAACCACAACAGGACAGTTATAGCAAATCCTGATGAGTGAACAAGCCCAGATGCTTGGTAGCTGACAATGCACAGGGTTTCAAAGGTGACAACAAATATTTCCTTCCTGAAAAGACAAGTGATTGCCTTTTGCTCTCCACAGTGCTCACTACCAGAAATACTGAGCTCATGTAAACACTTCATTACCCAGCTGGCTCCCCAGAACTTGAGTGTTAGCATTTAAGAGCATACGTGGACAGCACTACACCAGACTGACCCACAAAAGGGCAAAGGCAGGAGGATGCCTTGATTCCACACTAAGAAAATAATACTATTTCTTGTTTTCTACATCCCATAAAGGCAAAGAGCACACGCATGTTTTGCCAATGTACAAGTTTCCATTCAGATGTTCCTTAAACAATTAGATTTTACAATTAGATTTTACCTCTAAGTGTTTCATGTTTGCAAAAACTGAGCTTTCAGCTTCTGCTGAGTTTTTCTGTGCTCACAGCCTACTTGTTTGGTGTGGACTTCTACCACAGTAATAGAAAAATGATGGAGACTCCAGTTGAGAGATTTCATTTCCCTAAAACAATCTTCCAGATCATTTACGCAGGAAAAATGCTGATTTATTTTATGCTCTTGTGATGAAGCCTTTTAATGTGTTTCTTAATAGGATATTCAAGTTTTCATTCCTATTCTTGGCAACATATCTGAAAGTGTTACAGTTTGACCATCTAATACAGAGTAAATTTAGATTTAGAAGCCTGTGGGAAAATCTTGTATTCATTTAAACAAACACAGAGGGCTTTTGGGAAAGACAGACTACATGTATATGCCCTGCTAACAACAACTTAAGGCACCTAAACTAGAAGGTACTTAATGCCTAGAAGAGGACCTCCATATCATCTTCTAAAACAGCACAACCACTATAATTTGTTCCAGTAGGATATATAAGAGTTTGCTTGCTGGTTTCTAAACTCTACAAAAAACTAATGCTCAAAGCAAGTCATAGTGAATACAAACCCAGCTGCAAACATATTTTGCATAAGCAGCTAGGGCAGCTGTTGTGTGAACACTGCCTCTTTCTTGTAGATCATTTTCTACTCCTCCGTTTGTGCCTTGTTACAATACTGTTCACTTGAGAAAGCCATCTTCTCTGTGAGTTAATAGCAGAGCCTGCCTCTTGAACACTAGAATACAAGGCTTCTCAGCTGAAAGACAGCAGCATGACCCATCAGCTTCCTGAATTTACGCAACTGACAGTTAGTCAAACATTTTATACCTTGTCACTACATTCTTCCAAAACATTACATGAGTAGTGCTGACACGTAGGCTTTAGGTGATCTTCAGTACTGCAGTAGGTACGTGCAAAAATGAGAAGTAGGATGTATGAAGACATCCATGCAATCCACACAACTATATTTGCAAAGTATAGTTCATAGATTAACAGTCTTGGATCCCTGGGACAGAACAGTGGCTACCTGCTGAACCAGAACTGTGGATGCTCCATCTCTGATGATTTCAAAACCATAGCTTGAAAAAAAAAAAAACTGACAGCTAAACCCTGATACAGGTAACAGTGTTGGCTGGAACAGAGTGAGGGTTGGACAACCTCCAAATGCTCCTTCCATCCAACATTTTGTCATGCCCTGATAAGATTAATCCATTTCAATGAATGGACTCATGAAAAAAAGCCAACCATCGTGGCCACAAAAACCTCCCACTCGAGGGCATCCAAAAATTGTGTCAGATCAACAAGACAGCTGCACTGACATACTATTAATTGGCCCAAAATAAACTGGATAGAACAGTATAGAAGATGTCCAACTGAAAGAAGGCTGCCTTCTCCAAGTTAGATAATCGGCTTCTCCCTTAAAACACACAATATCAAAAGACCACGTTAAGCTGCTTCATCTAACTATGTAGCAAATTGAAGCCTTACTGCATTAGTGTAAGCATCTGTCTTTTTAAAATATATCTTATGCCTGTGTATCAGTGCTACTGTATTTTTGTATACTGGCTAATAAACGAGCAGCAACAGTCTCAGCATGAAGATGCAGGAAATCCCAATCCCACAATTTATCATTAGTTAACAACGAGGCCATTCATTGCCATTCCTCACGGGTTGGACCCAGGCAAGCAAACAGACGGACTTACTTGATGTCCTCCCAGACTGCGGGCCCGTAGTTCCGGATGACGAGCAGCTCCAGGGCGTGATTGACGAAGCCGTACTGTGGGCAGGGCGAGGCGGCGGGGCGGTCAGACAGCGGACGGAGCCCAGACCCCGGCCCCGCATCCCAGCGCCCCTCACCGCGGAGCGAAGCGGCCCTCCGCCGCGCCACCCCCGCCCCGAACCCAAACCCGAACCCAAAGCGCCTGGGGCCCGGCCGCCCTCCCGCTTCAACCCCCACATCTGCTCCCCGCCAAGAGCCAGTTCGGGCCCGGCCACCCTCTGCCGGCGCCCGGCTCCCGGGCAGGAGGACGCCCCGCAGAGCTCACCATGATGCCGCCGCCGCTGCAGCCGAGAAGAGGGGTCCTGACCGCCTCGCCGCCTCCCCTGCGGCCGGCCCGACTGGCACCCGCCGACAGCCAATGGGGAGCGCGGCCGTCACGCTAGTAGCCAATGGCGAGCGCGGCCGCCCTGCTGTCCTCCAATCCGAGGCAGAGGCGGGACGTGGCGGCGGGGCGGGGGCCGGGGGCGCGAGGGTCGGCGTTCCCCGTCGCTGTGAGTCAGGCGGCGGCCGCCGCGCGCTGACGGTCGCCTGCAGCTGACGGTCGCCCCGCCGCCATGGCTGAGAGGGGCAGGCGGAGCGCTGCCGAACTGTTGCTAACGCGGTGCCTGCGAAATATGCATCCTTCTCTCTCTCTTTTTTTTTTCCCCGACTGTGATTAACGTCGTTGTCTAAAACAACAGTCCCCTTTTAAAAGTTCGGAATTAAAAAAAAATTCAAGCGAGTGATTTGCTGAGTAGGGTCATTTTCCAGGTGCCTGCCGAGTCGAGGCTACGCGCCGAGTCTTCAGGCAGCGTTTGGTTTCACCGAGGGGGGATGACGGGCTTTAAGCCAACAGATGCACTCCCTGCATGCTGGGCTGCGCTTTCAAAGTCCAGTCGCTAGGCATTAGGACACACGTGTTACGCTTATCATACAGCCCGAATTTGGGCTGCGCGAGATGCGCTTCCCTCACGGTTGCCGTTCAAGCACCATAGCATGCGGTCTCATTCCTATTTGGGGACCCTGGGGCGCTCTGTCACTTGCTGCCCAGCTGCTTTTTGGGATTCAAGAGCAGGAGGCTGCGGTACCAGCCACACCTGTGCCGTGCGTGCAATGGAATGCTGGCATGAGAAGCCTTGGAGAAAGAGAGCTTTCCGTGACAAATCCCAGAAGGCGGCTTCACCCCTTTGTGTCTCCTACAGTGTGTGACTGCAGGAGAAAAGCTGCTGCACCTTTCAAGTGGAATACACATTTTTAACTGGTGTGACACGCTGACTTATCTGAATTGTTGAGATCCAGGAAAGTAAAAAAGTAACATTTCTTCAGCAATGTTAATCTTTAAACTGTTGAGTCTAGGTGTACGATAGGTTCCAGAACCAATGATTATCCCCCATCTTCTATTTGTGCTTCAGTATCAATTGCTGCTGAGTGACGGAAGACTGTGAGTTCTATTCTCTCCCTTTATAGAAAAGGTCTGCCAGAGAACTCATGCAAATGAGATTGGGAAATTAAAAAAAAAAAAGGTCTTATACCCGATTCACCAGATTTTTATTTACTGATATCAAAGGCCTCTAAAGCGTTTCGTGGCCCACATCTTGCAGATTCCATAAGTGGAAAATCCAAGTTTTTATTTCAGAAAAAGCTTCAAAGTTCATTTTAGTTCATGCCAAGCTGACTTCTGATAAACTGAAGCACAGCTTTGAAAGCAACATAATCCTTGTATGCTATATGGCAAATAGCCACAAAAATTACTGCTGTTCCAGGAAGCCAAAACTCCCCTTTCACTGCTTTTGCAGAACAATGAACAGACATAAAAAATGGCAGCAGTTACAGTAGCTGCTAGGTTATAGGATGGGTGGGGTTTGAAAGTGGGTCCCCTTGCCAAGATTCAAGAGAAATTTCCCTTAATTCTGATGGCTTTCAGCTGGAAATACTGATTTTGCCTCTGTACTTGTTCCTATTTCTGCAGAGAATGCGAAACAAAGTAATGGGAGAAGTAAACTGTATATGAGGAGGTCTGAATTTTTCTGTTACAGGATTTCAGGGGAAAGTAGATCTGGCCTCAGGCTCAGTGATCTGTGCACTTCGATGTTTTGTCACTTTCTGTGAGTTCGCATGGTTTGTTTTTGCACAGTAGTTCAGGGAGAAAGAAAACACCACTCTACACTAATTGCACTTCCTCTGACACCAGCAATTAGGAAAAAAATTCCATATGTTTCTTTGAAAACATATCAAGGCTTGCCAGAATGAAATAAAATTAGTGATTTTTTTTTTCCCCATGTATCTTTTACTTTAGCTATATCACAGTTAAATTCAGAGGACCCAATTCTCATTTATTCCATGAGCCATTTACAGCTTCTTGCCTAAGAAATTACAATACAATCACACAATGTAAATGTGAACAGGATTCAGCTCCTCAGCTGATGAGCTGGTAAAAGAGTTCCCATAATAACAGAACTGTTTCTAGACATAATACTAAAAGATTCACATTTTTATCTCAATAGCGTTTTGTAGATTTGTCGGCTTTTCTTTAGAGCAGATATGGACATAAGCATGTTGTAAAATACCTTCCCAAACCATTTTGTAAAAAATGTCCCTAAATTATATTTATCTCACTGAGATTGAAGCACAAGAAACTTGTAGCACTTAGGGCCATGTTTTAGTGGTTAGTGGTAGTGATGGGTTGACGGTTGGATTCGATGATCTCAGAAGTCTTTTCCAAGCTTAGCCTCTATGATTCATATAGGTTAATATGTATCCTTAAGCGTCTTATCAGGGCTCTTGTGGGAACTAAGGCTGAAATAGACATGAGAATGTTTTGACTTTTTCATCAAGAGAAACAAAAAGGAATTTCACAGCAATTTTATCCTAGCTGATAATGTAGCCAGGGGTCTATTTAAAAAGAGAGTTACAAAAAGTGACACAGGAAGGTGAATTTGATCTGTAGTTGATCCCCCCTTTGGTCTAGGGGACATTGTATTATACAGAGCTATGCATAGGAAGAGGTCAGAGCCAAAATGAACATCCTACAGATCAACATAATTATATGGAAACTGGCTTTCAGAACGGCCATCCTCCAGTCCAGCAATAGTTCTCCCCATGGGACAAAAGGAAATATGCTCCTAGGAGTTCTTCCCATTTGTAAATAAAGAGAAAGAAATTTTTGTTTAGAACCCTATTAGTCAATAGTACAATTCCTCCACATTTTTCATTCCAGGAACACCCATATGGGACTGCTACCAGTCTCTGGGTATTTATGTAAATAGAATAGATTTTTCCTAAGAAAATAATATTGCAGTGATCAGACACCAAGATTTGCAGACATCTTGTTTTCTTGAAATGCTGCTGTTAAAATTTAACAAATACGTGTGTGCAGATATATATATATATATATAAAATACATGTAATCTTTCAGGGTTGGTTTTTTTTTGAGCATGAGAATTATTTCTAAGCATCTTAGATAGATGTAGGACATCTGAAGAAACAGCAGGATGGAATGTTTCAAGTTTTGTTCAGATGAAGCTTGCAGGAAATATGAATTAAAACATGCTTTTAAAATGTTTGCAACACTAGGCACTTATAGCTTCTCAGGTTTCTGATAGGATGTGCTCTGTATAGGTTTCTGCAAAACAGTGGGATTAGAACAATATCTTCAGAATGAAGCACTCAGACTCAGAAAATGAATAGTCTAATTGAATTGTTCCCTGTAAATACTCAGAGAGCAAAATCTGATTCACTGAGAGGTACCTTGAAAAAAAAGTCATTCCTGGTGTGACCAAAACCCAAGAGCGTAAGGGGTCAGAATAATAACAAGTATTATTTGATACTACTGAAAATATTTGTGTGTGTAAGCAATGCAGCTTTCCAGCCTGCAGCTGGGACCAAACTGTACAGCACAGAGAAATTTCTGTGCAGATGAATCTGCTAGTGACAGAGGCAGAATCCTAAGCTCAGGATTCTGTAACTGTATGTTGCCCTTTTCCAGAGGCAGACCCTTGAGAGTTCTTCAGGAGTTCCTGAGAGAGTTCTGTAGGTCCTCCTCACATCTTTAGAGTGAGTGTAAGCTCACTTATGTGTTTCACACAACATGTCGTATCTGCCTTGCTTTCCTTGAATAAAGATCATGGCTTTACACCAGTGTACCTTTGTTCCATGTTATACAGTCTGACTGGAATTTCTTATCCAAGTAAACACTCCAAAGCACATTTTATTACACTCTTTTTAAAATATTTCAAATTTAAATGACAACAACAACAAAGAAAAACATTTATTGCTCTAATACATAATAGCAAGTTGATATTATTTTTTATAAAGTGTTTTAAAAACCCCAAGAACTAAAATACTGTTTGATGATTACAGAAACTTCAGGATGTGATTATACAGTGATTATACAGAATCTATATTCATTTTATACACAGAAGAAAGTTCAGGAAACAGTAAGCAGGAAACTCTTATATATATATATATGTGTATTAGCTACAATTTGCAGCCCTATCCAGAAGATGCTGAGCACACTCAACACATTGACTTCAGCAAGTGTTAGAAGATGGTCAGCAGCTGTACGGATGGAGCCAAAAGGATGTTCTTGAAGGAGTATGTGGTACCAGTGATGATATTTTTAAGACAACTTTTCTTATGGAATCACTAATAAAATAAATTTTTAACGGTCATTGATAAGCACCAGCTCACAACACTGCATGTGGCTGCATCACTTGCACATTACACTTCCTGACACGCTGCATATACAATACACCTAGAATTCTCAGTGCAGAAAGAACTGAGAGGGTTGCTACGTAGCACTCACAAATTATCACAGGGAACATGTACGTTTTAGTGGCATTTTAAACAGTGAAGTTGCAATATTATTTTATGACTACATTCCTTGTACAAAGGAAAAACATAAAGGAGTCAGTTACATACTACCTGAAATTTTAATACTGGCTTTCAGGTGTTCTCAATCTAAAGTGCTTTCATGTTTCATATATTTTTTAAAATTTTCAATTTATACAAAAAAAAAAAACAAAAACCCAGAATATTTATACATTTATTCTATGTGCTTGTGAATGTAGTAGATGATTTAGTCTATTCCTGTTTCCTCACCCAAAAAATTGGCATTGCCATCTCCCAGATCTTCCTTTGGAAACCAAGTCTGTGAGCTTGTTCCTTGATTATAAGCATCCAGAAAATAGCAAATTCCAGGGATATCACTGGGAAAATTTGGAGGAAGTTCTTCTCTTGAGCGTGGTGTAAATACAAAACCTGGATATTCCTTTAATAATCTGTAACAAGAAATGAAGTGCCTTGGTTAAAAGGGAATCAATCACTAATTGTTACTATATACAAATACACTCAATAATTCTTCACGAATTCTTTATAAAACAGGTCAGAATTCACTTTAATATTTATGTTTTTCAATGAAAAGTTAAAAAAAACTATTTATGTGGTAATCTCGATAACTCATTAAGTCAGGCACCAGTACAAACAGGAATGTTACCTCTCTTCTTTGTCTTGTCAGTGCTTTGAATATAGGTGCTGTATTTGTTGTAAGTTCTTGCAAAAATGATTTAGCTACTTCAAAAATGAGAGCTAAAATTAGCACATGAAAACAGCACCACAATTAATGTTACAACTAATGAAATACTGACAAGATTATTAACTAAGCTATTCAGATCCTGCCAATTCTAAGAATTTTTTTTTCCACAAAACCTAATGGCCTTCAATATCTGAAACGCAGATGGCTGTTCTTCAGAGATAAATATTGATGACTGGTACCTACAGTTCCAAATAAATATTACTACAGTTGTGCAAGATGCCATACTGTGTATATAAATCCATATGAATGGATTTTAACGTAAAAACGTTAAACACAAAGACTGTTTTTGCATCATTCACTCAGGTGAGAAAACATGCAATAACTATAGTTTACCCTTCAACTCTATTGCCTGTTTACTAGGCATCCCAATAATTATGGTGTGAGGTTGTTTTTTTTGTTTTTGTTTTTTTCCCAACAGTTTACTTATTTAAGATATTGTCTTGAGATGAATAAGCAGACAAACAGAAAGCCACTTGCTCCTTAGAATATAAACAAGATTTGTGTGAAAGAACTGTATAATGATTTTAAGAAAAGACCATAGCCAATCTGATTCAGAATGATTTGCCATGTGGACATGGAAAAAAACATTACTGGCCACCACAGTTCTTCTGACTCGGTTAAGCACTGCAGATGGTGATGCTATGTCTCTGTTTAGACTGCATGATCCAAACCCAAGTTACTTGTGTGTGCTTCTGCTTTCACCTGCAGAAGATAATCTTTAGCTTTGCTCCCTCTAAGTCACACAGTATTGCTGCAGGGGATTTCAGAAATGGCAATATCTCTGACACTGGCCACACAGTCCTGACACAACATCAGATACACAGCACCAAGTAGAAGCTGAGTACGAACAGCCAGCTGTCTGGGCTACAGTTCTGAATGTAGAAGATTATTTCAATTACTGCTGTTTCTGCACCCCAAAAAAATGATATTGCAGTCTCTCAAATCTTTCTTAAAATGAAAAAAAATAATTTATATCCATATTTCTGGTTATTTTACTCATCCAGCACTGTCCCTTCCTACTAGTGAATTCACTCTCTGTAGTTCATACTTAAAATTTTTGGCTACTCTGGAAGAAACAATAAACTGTATGAGTTTCGTGGCATAAAATTCAGATCTTTAGCTGGAGCTCAGACAGTTGTTACCACCAAACTTAAAAAAGGTTTTTAATATTTTATCTGGAACATAAAAAATGCTACAGCTTGGCCATGGACATATCTGCAAGGTAATTTTAAGTATAACTAAAGATATAATACAAAGGGTGTATTAAGGTAAGAGGACAAAGGAAAGATGATGTATTTCCCATGGGAGAGCCTGCTAACTATCTGCATGAAATCAAATATCCTTTACTAAAAATGATCTGAGTGAATAATAAATAGTACAGCCTGGCTTCCACATGAAGAGGTTCAAACTGAGCTGGGATCAATGCATAAAATAAACACTCTCACAGTTGATTCACTGCAACCTATTCATTCATCTTCCCTAATCAAAAGAGAACGGGGATGTGTAGAGTGATGCTTAACAATTGTTTGATTAGGATGTTATTTTCGAGTGCATCTGTTTAAGTTTGGCATCCAGGAATTAAGGAAAATAAGTTAACAGATACGTGCCTTCATGGGGTGCCGAATCGGCAGCTACAGATCTGACCTTGATTATACAGGTTTTGGCACCTGATAGCAGATGTTTTTCTACAAACTTAGACAGTTGGTACAGACAGCGGGTCTCCTGTTTCTCCAAATAACATTGTTAGCTATCCTATCTCTGGAATGCAAGGTAGCAGGCTCGGACAGTGAAACCACAAATTAGCGGATTGGTGGACAGAGTTGTAGCTGATAAGATGACCAACCAGAGCGAGTCAAACGTCCTCCAACTTGATCCAGGTCAAAGAGCACACAGCGAGAAAGACATACAGCCTTCATCAAAAGAGCACCAGAGGAACACCGAGAGATACCATGCATGTGTAAAAGAACTGAGACTCAAGGCGGGGAGAAACGTCACTCATTTGGGGGGACTCATTGTAATAACCCAACCTTTTCTTGGAAATCTAATGCATACATAAGCAGCTTGTTTTTTAAGTATGTGCTTTTCTTGTCCTCTGGAATGCTTGGAGGGATTACCCACCTGCATCAGGCCTGTGCGCAGTGCTGATTAAACACACCTGCTTTATAACTACTCTGTGGTTATACAGTTTGATGTCTGCACATCATCCAGTTTACAGTGAAAGCCATCTCCCTCAAAGATAAACCAATTTAATGAGAGGCAAAAAAAGGCAAGAGTTATACAGCTTCGTGGCAAGAAGCAGAACTGCCTCAAGTTCTCCATTTATTTTGATCATAACATCTGAAAAATAAATATAAGCTGTTCCATTTCACTCTGTTGCTGCTTCTGATTGCATTCTGAATAAAAATACTGTTGTGCATTCATGAGCAGTCAGATAAAAAGAGTAAAAAGAAAACAGGGAAAAAATAACAAGATAATGAACAACTTTTACGTTAACTACTTCAAGTGGAAATGTTACTGATGTACACTGTAAAGCACTGTACCTGTAAGTTGTTGGGCTGACATTTATTTTTCGAGGTACGCTGCAAGATTCAAACTTGTTGGCAAGGGTTACATTATTTCCAAAGAGACAATAACGAGGCATTTTAACTCCAACAACTCCAGCAAAAACAGATCCAGAATGAAGGCCAATGCGCATCTTTAAATAAAAGGCAGAAAATGTCATAATTAGGTAAGATAAATAAAATGGTTTTAAAATTCTTTCTTTATTAAAAAATAAAATCGAGTTGCTAATATAAACTGAGTTAGTACAGCCTACTTAATATGTCTGTATTCTGGTCATTACTGTTTGTAGATTGGAAAGTAGCCCAAGTATATCTTGCTTTGCATAGTAAATCACTCTTCATCTGACATGACTGAGATAAAGTTGGTCTTTCTGGCAGTATATTCATCTAAAAACACCATCAGGAGTTACTATGACACTTAAATATTTTCCTAGGAGGAACTGCATGGCGCAATGTTAGACTGATGAAAGTTACTAAATTGAAATTGTAATTGCTTTGCTGTTAAGGTAGGAAGACAAGTCCTAGGGAACAATGAAGAAAATATGTATATGCTGTTCAGCAGTAGAAACAGTTTGATATCTCCTCTTTGCAATTCATAGTTTGAATTGTGAGTTTTGTTTAGTTGGTGCTGCTTTCTATGGTCTTTTTTTTTTAAAAAAAAATCTTATGTGCATTATAAATATATAGACTTTAGAGTCTACATAAAAATATGTTTTCATCAGAGTAGCACTCTGACAAAACAATGGAAAGATGTTGGAAAATTCACATATCTACCATGTGTGCCATTCTTCACATATATACAGAGAATACCATATCATTATGAAGACGTCACAGTTCTAGTTTTGAGTGAAAAAGCAGAAAAGCCTGCAACAAAAGCAAAATCCACCCACACAGCAAAGATGATGAGAATATATACGCTGATATAGAAGTCTGATTTAAAACAGCAGTTTGCACTCATGCCTTTCTGTTTGACAACTTGTTTTTTGAAATCACAGTAGACTGTGACATACTTCTTGCTTTGCAAAACAATCAATGCTTTTGTGAAGCATTTCATTAAAAAAAAAAGTATACTTTCATTAAAAATATATTCATTTTTCCTCTAAGAAGCTTCTAGAATATATTTTTTCTCCCTATTTTAAAATTACTTTTAGAATGTAATAACATTCATCATTCAAAACTACACAAACAGCATTTGCGTGGAAATTATAAACACTTTGTAATATTGTCATAAACATGTCTCCATATTTTCAGGTATAATTTAATTTGATATTGCGAAATACAAATATAGTGGTATTTATTTCCACCATTTTTAATACTGCTGTTCTCTGTGAGAAATGTGGAGCCTGTAATCCTTGTAAAAAACATTTTCCTGGTCTTAGAATACAAATATTCCTTAAACCACAATCAAAGAAGCCTGAAGCTCCTTTCTAAAGGGGCAAATGACCAGGCAAATATTAAAAATAAGCAAGTGAAAGACATAATTAATCAAGACACCCGTATTAAAAATAACAAGACCACATTCCAGGTGGAAAGTTCAGTACATGCTTATGTCTCCATTGAAAGGAGGTCATAAATGTAACTACCACTGAATCTGACAGTGGCCTTGCCAGCATTGGCCCCATTCTAATGGTGACCAGCAACAGACGTGTGGATTACTGCAATTTGAGCATGTCTTTGATGATCCATGTTAGTGACTGTTGCCTCAGAATACTTTTATGTTCTCCTTGGTTCTTGTCTTGAAAGAGGATTAGTCTCCTAATTAAAAAATAATAAAATTGATTGCTAGGGAGACAAAAACAGCAGCAGATCAGTGTGCACCTTTTAATTTAGCAGCAAGTGGGTTGATTTTAAGACCTCTGCTTCATCTTTCTTTCTCCACAACACTCATATTCATGGAAATAAAATAGTCAGCCTCTCCACCTATACACATTTGGTTCCCCAACTTGTCTGAGTTAATGCAAATTTTCCTTGAAACAAATATGGGGGGATCAACTAGGCAATCAAAATTTTCCCTTTTTACCATATGAAACATTATAAAATAAAATATATGACCTTGATAGGCTCCCCATGGGGAGACACCACCTCATCTGACAGCTCCATCATCTTCAGGGCCATCAATGCTATTTGGACAGCATGGGTTTCGCTTTCTTTGTGTAAACCTCCAGCAACGCAGTAGGCATCTCCAATAGTTTCAACCTAAAACGGGTACATTTGTTCCTTAATATTACAATACTCGATATATAAAAGAATAGTCTGTGGCTTTAATATGCTACCTGCATATTGACTGAGTCCTATTTGTCCTGCTAAATTATTTAAGTCTTGAATAAATCCTGTGGTATCCTTTAAAAGGCAAGAGTGCACAACTAGTATTTATTGCTGGGCACGACACTAGAATACTTTTCCTCGCTCTCCTACTGTCAGACACCTGTAGTTACATTAAACGCATTGATTTATGACAGATTCATAGCACTGTAACTAAAATCCATTTTAGAAATGACCTCTTAGGTTTTGATGGGTTTCTTGCTTGGCTGCGTATATTGCTCATTCTGTTGATATACTTTTTGTTGTTGTTGTTGTTTTATGATTGATCTTAACATTTTTTTCTTATAATGAAGATTTTAGGCAAAATATTTTTGGACTTCTATTATTCTCTGTCCCAGTTTGTCTTTATTTCCTTTCCTGCCCCATAGCCCCACATACAAGCAAAAAATGTTGTACCTTGTAGACATCTAACTCTCCACATTGGTAATCAAAGCGAGTGTAAAGCTCATTAAGCATGGTTATAACCTGCATAGGTGAGCACTGGGAACAGATGGCAGTGAATCCAACAATGTCAGAGAAAAGCATTGTGACATTATTAAACTTCTTGGCTTGCACCACTTGTCCTTGCCACAGCTGCTGAGCAACTTCTCCAGGAAAAATAGAAAACAGAAGATCTACGGTCTTCTTCTTTTCCTCTTCAAGAGCTTGATGGGCCTGTTCAAGGGTTGCTTTCAGCTTTCCTAACCTCTTCTTCAGCCCATCCTGAGCTCTGGCTTGCTCTCCAATCAGAACAACATCTCTCAGTGCATTGTGAATAGGAATATCTGAAAGATATAATCCACGTCCTGTAAAATCTTCTAGCCTATCCACACATGGAGATCCCAAGAATAGGATTGCACTGGATTCAAGAATATAGATCATTTGGCCTTTGAGATCCATTACCTGAAACAGTTAAAGAAACAAGAATTCATGCACACCATGCAAGGCATGTATTTAGAAACAAGAAACACATTTTGCTGAACCATAGGAGAATTGAAGTGACCCACAGTTCTCACATTTTCTTCTATTTGTTGAAGATAAAACATGGAATACTAAATCATAGAGCTAAATAATAAGTTCAGTCTATTTTACCTCAGACTTCTGGTGCAAAAGGTAAAACAGCTTAAGGATAAAATACTAATGTGGTATTGGTAAGTATCAATTTTATCTTAGGGATCAAGCAAAAATCAAAAGAGGAATTTTGTGCATTTTTAGCTACTAATAAATTGCTATAGATAGGAGTGGCCAGTAGATTTCTGGTAAGAACTGTACTGTTCGGGTCATGCACAACATTCTCAGTAAGATAAAGTGAGAAAATGTGCTTCAGTTTTATTACAGTTTTATTAGAGTACTCACTGAGACTCCAAATTGAAAAGCAGAAATACCAGAAATAACTCATTTTCATGATCTAAAAAATCAATATACTTTGTGTGAAATGCTGTTTTTGTGTTCTTCCCCTAATTGCTTCTGCAATGTGGAAGGTGCTGAGGAGGTCTCCTTAATGTTGCTTTGAATCACCTTTTTTTTGTGGTAGCAATTGCACTGGTTAAGATATATGACTATAAAAGATGCAAAATACAAAAGATAACAAAGACTAAATTAACACAAGAAACTCCCTTCCCCAAATTCAAAAGCTGCTGTTTGCATCTAATTCAAGTACACTTTGGTAAAACCCTCACTGTCCCATTCTTTGTGTTGGTGATGCTCTTACTCTCAGCAACATGGCATGCCATTGGCTTTAGCCCAATTTATTAGTTTCTCTCCCTATTTCCAATGACTCTTTCAAAATCAAGTTAACAGTCAAATTTCATTTGCGTAGTGGTTCAAGAGAATTTTCAGTGAACGTTGGTTTCAAAATCTGAATTACCTTACATTGTCCTCATAATTGTTAAGTTGTATTAGAGGTTGAAAGATAAGTGATGTAAAATACAACATTATTTTGTTATATGGCTATTTTAACTCTATCAACCTTGCATGTCTCCAAAGAAGAAAACAAATTCATCATTGAAGTAAAGATTATAAAAGGACTCTTACCATAGATGATTTCAGATCAGTATTATCCCATCTTCTCACTCGTACTGTAAACTGCATATTTAACATTGTCATTATTCCACTAAATGTGCAGCTTATTTTAGGGGTAAGAATTTCAAAATATTCTTCAAAATTAGGCTTAGCTTGAAATTCTCTTCTGGTCAAAAGTCTTCTTATCCCATTTCCAACTTGTAGAACAGACATATCCTTGTCAAACATAAAATGAAACGGGAAAATCTTGCAGAACACAGAGGCAGGAATCACAAGTGAAGACTGCGGTTTACATGGAGATAAAGAAGGTTTTGCACTTTTGACTTGGATAGAGTACAGCAAATAGGGCTGATTAACAAACTCAGTGCAGTCATTATGGAAACAAGGAGGCATGAGCATGACTTCCACCTCAGTTTCATACAAAATATGAGCTGCTGCTTTAATAATGCCAGATAGAATAAGACTTGTGATTTTCTTGGGAAAGAAATAATACACGTTTAAGAAGTCCTGATCTTTCTCCAGGCATAATATGGAAACTTCTTCAAGTCTGTCCTTTTTTCCTGCTTCCTGACTGTGGCTACTCTGCTTCAGCAGAGTAGTGAAACTGTTCAAGAAGTCCTTAAGGGTTCCTCCAATAACCCCCAATATGTGTTCATCCTCTTCATAGCATATTTTGAATAGCTCTTCACCAAGAGATTCTCGTAGAGACTCCACAGGAATACCTGCATGGAATTACATTTAAATCAGAACTATACTTGTCATGCAATCTCAGGCTAGCCTCTAATTTTTTCATCCTAAATCTAATGAAATCAGCAATATCCTTCACTGATCCAGCATAGACAACTGAGAGGCTTCTCATTTAGGAGTCCTGCTGTGACCAACTAACGTTGTTCTATCTGGTGCCTGAAAAACATGGAGAGATGGGTTGTAGTCTGGAACGATCCATTGTTCTGTGGTAGGAGTGTAGACAAAATGAATGCACATCCAGTAATTCAAATGCCTCTAGGAATATTCCAGGGCTCTGAGACCAGTCAGCACAGAACAGCTCACATCTTCACAGTAAACTCATTTTAACAGGATAGCTGTATGCAAACTGATTGCTGGGAACATCCTAGCTTCACAACTGTTACTAGGAATCTTTTTGAAAAGGGTTATCTGCCACGTGATCAGCTTTACTGTTTAAGGTTGCAGAGGATGATGCTTCACTTCCTGGAAATGTTAATTTACTAATTTCAATAAGTACTGGCTACTATAGATGTAGCCAGTTCCCATATTCCAAATTAAAGCAGTTCTCATCCCACAGAGGATGTAAAGAATCAAACATTTTCTCACCAGTATAACGCCATAACATGTTACTAAGAATACTTTACAACTTTCTCTAGATGTTGGATGTTGGGGGTCAGCACAGACTTGATACATTTTGATACTCTGGGCTGTTAGTTGCCCAGAAACAGTTTATTCTATGTGATGTTGGCATAACTTCAGCCATCACGAGGAGGAAATTATTTAACAAGCCCAATTTACATATGCATATATTATTTTATACATATATCATTTTACATAAATATTTGTACATGTAATATATATGTATTATTAAACAAAAATACGTTACCTGCTGCAATAGCATGATCACTGATTATTTTTTCAAAATCTTCTCTATCGCCAGTTTTTCTGCAAAGATCATAAAAAAAGAAATAAAACTCCTGAAAAATCAGGACAAACGGGGTAGAAATAGTATGCAATAGAAATTACCCACTCTGCATTTACTCTGTAAAGATTACGTTCTGCCAATCAAATAGGAAGGTTTTGTTGGTTTTTTTTTTTCTCATTCAAAATGGGCCTTAGTAGGATCTTAGATTATCCTGTGCATTTGTGATAAATTTAAGTTTTAGTTGTCTGAACTCAGATTATGGATCGAGGCCAAATGCTGCAGTCTGCCATTGATTACAGCCTCTTACATTGCAACAACCCTACCTTTTGTTTCACTAGTATATTGCTACTTGTAGTTGTAAGTGTATTTCATATTCACAAATAATAAATATTACATATAATATATATACAAATATATAGCATAATTTGAGTATACCTTCAAGCATTTCTTGGAATTACATTAAGTTAAAGAGAGGTAATAAAGCTTTTGTTTTTGATAGGAAATACCAATCAACTCTAAAATTACTTGTCCACTGGTAGAAATCCTGATTTCTGTGTTACAAAACAGCAGCCCTATGAGTTCTGAGGTTGATAAATATCAACTTGAATGTCAGACACAAAATGATGAGATGTAGCTTAGATCAATCTTCGTACAAGCTGTGAGCCTTTGATATAGATTATCTGAATTTCCTTACTTGAAATAACTTAATATATATACATGCAAAAGCAATATAGATGTTTATATTTGTTTTAAATTTGCCTTAGTACACTGTTCAGTATAGCATACTATTTTTTTTTGCTTCAAACTAATTCTCCATATTCCAATACATAATAAAGTATTCCAGGCAGCAATTATAATAGACGTCTGACCAGCTATCAAAAATGTATGCATTCACATACTAGAAAACAATTTTTTTTTGTATAATCACTTGAATTTAAAATTCTTTTCCCAGACTCTTAGAAATACCAGTGGTTTATTTATTATTAGAAGGCCATACAGTTGTGAAATAAGACAACTGTATTCATCTTTCCATCTATGTCTGAGTATTCCCTGAGCTCTCCCAGAACATCTGCTTATTTTAAGCAATGTTTCCCTGCACAAATAGCTAAATTTGCCCATTATGCCAACTTAGATTGCACGAAACGTCATGCACCAATTTAACAAGGTAACAGAACACAGATTCCAGAAGTCCTGACTCCCAGCCAGCACTCCAGTCATTATGAACTCTGCAAAACATTTTTACTGCATGGTTTAGTTGCAGGTCTATTATACATACATACCTGGTTTCTTTTATCCTGTGCTTTGCTAACGTTCTCTGAAGTGCAAGATTTAGTCTTTCGAACTGGGAAAGAAAGAAAGCTACATTGATTAAATATCATTGCTGAAAATTTAATCATAACATTTTATAGAGAGAAGAATTACTGTGCTGTCCTTGGGACCGCCATCTTTTTTCAAGATGGTATAGTTGTTAGAGTGTGTCATTTCTGTGCTTGGGGTTTAGATCATGTTGATGCCTTTAGCTCCACAGAATCATAGAATGGCTTGGGTTGGAAGGGACCCCAAGGATCATCAAGTTCCAACCCCCCTGTCACAGTCAGGGCCATCAAACTCTAGATCTGGCTCTAGATCAGGTTGCCCAGGGCCCCATCCAACCTGGCCTTGAACACCTCCAAGGACGGGGCATCCACAGCCTCTCTGGGCAGCTGTTCCAGCACCTCACCACTCTCTCTGTGAAGAACTTCTCCCTGACATCCAAGAACTTCCTCCTACCACGCAAGTACCAGCACCTACTACTCCAGTACCACTATAACCTATAATTAAGGACCCTTATCTGATGTGCATGTGTGGTTAGGCATTCTAAAAAATTATGTGCTTCACCTCCAAATTGTCAGATGACAATAAAGATAATACTGCTGAAAATTAGCTAACTCGACTTTCTAGCATAACTCATTACTCTCAAAAAAGAGCAATCCCTTAATTCAGAACTACTAAGGTAAGTAAGAAAAATTTATTCTGACAAAAAAATACAACATCCCAACAAAACAAAACAAAACGACACAACAGAAGAAGAAAAACAAATCACCTACGTTCTGCATTATACCCTCAGCAAAACGTATTAAAAAGTTGTAATGACTAACTTTTCCCGAAATACTACTTTTTTTTTCAGGGCCATTTTCAAAATTGTCAAGGTTGAAACAGCGAAAGGTAGCACAGCTTCAAAAGCAGCTACTACAAATCAATATAACATTCTTTGATTCAGATTATCTCCTTTTCTGTTTTCAGGGCTATTACGCTTTGAGACAATGCTAGAATCACTTATATATGTAAAAAAAGAAATCTGACTATGTATTCTACAAATGGTTTGGGTTGGAAGGGACCTTTAAGATAATCCAGTTCCAAGCCTCCTGCTATAGGCAAGGACACTTCCCACTAGACCAGATTGCTCAAATTGCTCATCCAGCCTGGCCTTGAACACTTACAGGCATCCACACCCTCACTGGGCCATTTATGTTAAAGTCTAAGTACACATTCCTCAAGTAGTATTAACTTCCACGTGTTACATATTCTAATAATGTCCTCCACTTTTGACATGTGAAAGTGAGGTAATCAAGCTCATAAGTAGTCTAAATGATATAAGGACCAATTTGATCAAAAGTTTATCCTGCTTACACTGTATCGTGGATTTCCATGCACAGTTTACTGATGCCACAAGGAGTTTGTGAATCATGATATGGCCACGCATTTTGAATGGGAAAGAAAATGAGGTTAGTTGCTGATGAGAAGCAAGGCACTTCAAAGTATCAAAGCAATGAAAAATGTTTTTAAACAAACAAAACCCTTCTATGAAGAATGATTGGGAAGGTTTCTGTCTGTAGACCCTGAAAGCTGACAGCGTGAGAACAGACTAGTACATCTGAACAAAGTTCCAATTCATAAAACTTCAATAGCTGTTAATATCTGCGACAATAACCTTGAGGTTCAGTAGCTTTGGGAATACATGGTCACAGACTCCTTGACTTTGCCAGTCATTTTTCCCAGCAGAGGGTCTAGCCTACTGTGTTCACGTAACAGGCAGCACACACTTACATCATTTTTAAAGAAAAATAATACTCATTGTTTCATTAAAAATCCCACCAACAAATATATGTTGAAAATAAAATCAGATGAAATGCAAGAGTACAATCAATCTTAAAGCACCAATCATAGCATCATAGAAAGGTTGCTTTGCCAGTTCATTGTTGAGTTGGAAGTCTGCATTAGTCTATAAAAATTGATAATAAAAAGTTTTGCCAAGAAAATAATAGATGGAAGAATTGGAAAATAGACATGCAAACAGCACAACTGGTAAGGCACACTGAATGCTCTCAGTACAAGTAATGGAATTGTAATAAACTCAGTATTCAGAGATGGCCATTCACTATGTCATCCCAATATAGACCAGTCTATTTGCCCCGTTTTCCACAAAATTTGAGGCATACCCACATATTGAATGTTATGCAGTTGCACTTTCTTTAAAGTTGTAGTTTTTTATATACAGAAACAGCATGCGCTGTGCCTGTTTTCACTGGAATTGAGCAGAGACTATTACTGAAAATATATTAATTAACTTAGCGTTTCAACATAATCATTGCATTTCCCAGTTGCACAGATACTCTGTTCAGTCTCTCCAGGGCAAAGAGTCAGACACGGTTTCTGCTGGGGGAACACTGGAACTTAGATGACAAGTTCTGTGGTCTTTACTCATTTAAATCTAGTAGCTATGATACAGCTCACATATGACAAAAGTTCTGTTTCTTTGTTTGAATCATTTGCTCAAATATATGCTTCAGAATTTTCCTTTGCATTAAACATAGATGTTAATGTCTTTAATATTGCAAGAGATTAGTATAATAGCAGATGAAAACAGTGAATTTATTTATTTGTGACAATGAATGATATGCATAGTATGGATTGAGTTAGGTGAATTGATGAGGTAAATTAGTAATTCATGTAATTAGCTACCAGGGCAGAGTTTCTCCAACTGTATCTCTATGTAAAAAAAAATTCTTTGGAAAGACACGCTCTTAAAAGGAACAATTAAAATGAGCGGTGGGAGACTGCAAATACAGGACAAAATATAGGGAAATGGATTGGAAGGGATAGTTTAAGAGCAGACAAAACTGATTGTGGCAAAATTGTACAAAAAAGGAATTGGAAAGGATGAAATGAAGATTTAACCTCTGCTGACCTACATAATAATACAAACTTTGAAGTCAAAACAGCTTTCAGAAGGCTTACATCTAAAGGCTTGCATAAAATGCATGTTAATGTAAATAATGAAACACTGGTATTAATACGCAGTATCCGTTTACCTCAGGAAATATTAGTTTGCAGATGCTTTCAGTTAATGTGTGCAGGTACACTCTACTTCTGCTTGTTTTCCTTTGTGGAAGGTTCCCTTGAGTGTCTTTTTCGTGGACTTCTTTGCAGATGGGCAGAGCTGCTCTAGAGCTGTTTTCTGTGCAGCCCTTCTCATGTTCATCAGCAATACGACTTTGAGTCAGTAAGGAGAAAGGACATTCCCCCGTGATCTTCAAGTCTTTCAGTTTTGTACAGAACATGCTGTACTGTCTCTCTATTGAGGGTAAGAGTACTTGGCTTGGTATTTAATAGTACTCTTCTGTTTACTAACAAGAGAAGAAGATGCCAGAATATTTGATGAAGCAACCACTGTGGAGGATTATTGGTAGCTATAAATCATCTCAGGAACAAATGCGTGCCCCTAGAAAAGAAGAAAGAAAAAAAAAAACAAAACACCACAAATGTATTATTTTATTTTCTCCTTTAAAAATGAATTGGCAGTTTTTACCATGCATGCATTAAAATAATGGCTTTCCTAAAGCCTTGCTCAAGAAAACACTTAAGCTTTGCTCATGCAGTATTTTAAGCATGTAATCCCTACTGACTCGAATGCTTCAGGTATTTAAAATTGTGTGCATGCTGAAGTGCTTGGCTGAATTGTGGCTCCAGCAATTAAGGCAGAGGAGCTGTTTTATCTGATACATCTTTGTTCATGGTGATGGATGAGGTTCCTGAAAGAGCAAATAGCAAAGTTCTAATGAGAAAATCTTTTTAATTCTTCATAAGCAGCTATTAAAACTACTTGAAGTGGCACAATGAAACTGATTTGTAATGGATGCTTAAATCTCCGTTTAATCAATGCCAAAGGCATCCTTCTTGGAGCACAGAATTATTTGACTGAAGTCAGCACTCAACTTTCTGGAACAGCAGACCATCCAAGACCTTGGGTTAGTGCCTGCTGTAAAAGCCACAGCTAATGTCCACAACAGGTGGGAAACAGACCACGTAACTGATGTAGTTGCTTGGAAACACCATGAGATGTTATGCTTTTACAGGTGATGCCTTTCAAACAATGTATTAAAGCCAGAGTTGAACATTTAAGTTTAATTTGGAATTAATTCCCTGCTTGTTTTATTTATTTCAGTAAGACTTAATTCATTTTCCATTGACCATACCTCATTTAATCAGATCTCCTCATCCCCATGCAATACAAGATAACCCTTGAGAGCTTCTGGCAACTCTTGAAGCAGCTGAAGCATTACATTTCCCTCTCTGGAGGTACAGCCCAATAAGGCTTTCCTTCAGAAGCACTGTGGCTTCAATCTGCCTGGGCACCACACTGCTTATTCCTCTCTCTGAGACAACCAAAGGGCCACTGGACCGAGGTAAAAAATAACTAATTCCTTAACACAGGTTATGAACCGCTGCTTTTGAAACAGCTGTAATGAATGGCACAGCAGGGGAGCGCTGCACAAGTGATGCATATAAAAGTAGCAACAAGCAGAAGGCAGTCTGGCTGGACCTCCTGCTGAAAAAAATATCTAGCAGAAAAGGCCCTTTTCAAGTGTGCTGTAATGCTGATGGTGGCTGGCCAGCTTCTAGAGGGTACCTATCAAAACTATGGAAGCGTTATTGTCAGCATCTGTAAACACAATGGTAAGAAAAAGAGGCAAAAGAATCTTTGCGTAAGATTTTATATTCCTGATTTCTGTGCTGAAATTTACTTGTTTCTACTATATGAATATCAGTAACACTTTATTTTTTAGTGCTGCATTCTCCTGTGTGGCAAACATGGCAGTGAGAAGTTCCAAGCAAGGATCCTGCCCTCTAGATATACATGAACTTATATTGTTATTTGTTATAGCATAAGCATCGTTATGTATACACAAATATTTTTCTTCAGGAGCCTAATAAAACCTCATATTACATTATTAAAAGAGAAAAGCAAAACAAACAAACAAAAAAAATCCACCTTTCCTGTACTTAACTGTACTTCTTTTTGAATTCATGTATTGAAATACTGTTAAGAAAAGTGATAACATAAATAAACATTTGAACCACTGTCAAGGATAACACGATCAATGGCTGTGATGGAATTTACATATATATATATATTTAAACACTCTGCTGTTTGGGGCCTTAGATTTCAACATATATCCACTACTAGACTTTGAAAGAAAAAAATACTAGAATTTTGAAAGAAAAAAAAAAGGTATATTTAAAGTATCTTGCAGTGAATGTGTGCTGCTACTAAAAAAAGAAAAAAAAGTTCTCTGTGAAGAATGAAGAATGTAAGCTGGAGTTAATGGTTAAATTAGATACCCAGAAATACTTACTGCATTTGCACTGAACTAAGAACAAAGGCAGCGACTGACCTTCAGCAGTGATCAGTGGTTTCTGGTTGGGCTGGGCTTTTTGGTTTGTTTTTTCCCCTATTGCTGGTGGAAATATTTTTCTGTTTCTAGAAGCCAGTAATNNNGGGGGGGGGTCAATGGCACGCTAGGATAGTGTATTAATTAGTGTATTATTAGCGTAAATGTCCTGAAGTTCTTGTTTTCCCATGAACAAAGGGAATGGTCCCTTGATAGCATATATCCCAGTTCGAACCAGTATCAACTGAACAGGCACGACAAGTTTACAGTGGTGACCAAAGCAAGATTCTGCACTTGGCTTGCAATGACAAGACCCTCTAAAACACATATTTAAAGAAACAAAGTGGAAGCCTAGTGCCATCACATCTTCAGAGGATTCAAACACTGAAAGTAAAAAGTATCTATAAACAAATTCTTTCGTAATTGAAAAGTCAAGTTTCCATTTGGTATCCTAAGTGTACCTCACACTTAATCTAACTAAAATTCAGAAAAGCATATCATTTTCTAGGAAAACCTGCCTCGCTCCAACTGTAATTGGGCAGTGTTTTTTAAATGTCTGTCAGAAGGACAGTGAATCATTTCTGTTGTGTTTAAAGAACAAATTCCAGCAGCATGATGGACTTTAAAAAGTTATAAGAAAGATGAGATATGGTACATGTCACAGGTTGAATCAAACATTTGCAAACGCGTTTCAAGAATTATAAACTCCAGCCCTCCCATTTTTCACAATGTTTAAAAACATTTTCTGACCATGAGAAAAAAAATATGGCACTTGAAAAAAGACGGAAAAGTTTCTGGTTTTGATCCTTCTCCAAACATGCTCTGTGAGAGCTTATCCCACGGGAGCAGCAGTGTTTTATATGAATTCTTTATCTCTGCTGTATTAATTGCTGTCATATTTACCTTTGGAAGCAAACTGAAAATTGAAATTAAATAATCTGTGGTGAGAACAAACTACAAGCAACAAATTCATTTAGTGTCTGGCTGAATACAGCATGGCACTGTGCCACTCAGAAAAACTAAGATGACTTCACACAGCATAGTCATAGCAGTAGAATAATTTAACAGTGTTCAAAATGCTTTGTGCAAACATTTCATTGTGTATTTACATCTGTACTTGTCTTACAGCCAAAAGGTCTTCCTGTATGATTATTTGTACTAGCTGCTTCTGAATATTTGCCTCTGCTAAAACAGTTCCTTGACAATTGCATGAAATACAGTGCAATGAATAAATCATACAGTAAAACTGCCTTATATTAATGCAGTCATTTATAAGAATTAAGCAATAACACTTGCTAACAGTAGCTAAAGTTGTTATTTAATCTTTAAAGACATGGGAGGAAAAAATAGAAGCAATGTTAAATACCTTTTTCTTTACATAAACTACATCATTTGATCAGAGTAGCAGATGTTATACTGTAGTGGTACTTTTTATTTTTAGGCAGACATATCAGTTAGGGGAACTTCTGCACACTGAGCGATAATTTTAAAAATATATATTGACTGATGCAAAAAAAACCCTCAAAATATATTACTGACTGGATGTAACTTTCTGCAGCACAAGAGCAATTGCAGTGCTTGAAGGAGCTTAGTGTGGTCTGGAAGTCATTGCCTGAACGGCAAGTAGTTGTTAACATCTGTCTTGTCCTTATGCAAAATGGAGACTTGCAATTCCCACCAAGCTCTAATCCTTGTGGGATTAAAGAAATCACTGCCTTTTACCCCTTGCCAGTAGGCCTCTGCACAGAGCAAGGCAGGATCAGTCTGGCTCCTTACATACAGGCAAACCACAAGTAACTCCTAGCAAGACAGATTAGAACCCACCACCCTATCAGGAATAGCTCAATGTGCATTTTGCTCTTTTCAGCAAAGAATCTCAGGGAATAAAACTAAATCCTATAATTTTGTTTTAAATTGCAATAGCAACACTTGACTTTTTCTATGTAAAGAGCCATGCGCAGCAGCAGAATCAAAGCTTTGATTTGTCTGTTTCCAAAGATTTTAAGAAACCTTCTAAAATGCTCAGAGAAAATTGATCAAGTCTGCATCAGAATAGAAGTTAATATTTTAAGAAGTGAAAGTAAGTTTTGTTTTTTTTTTTTTTTTAGTCTCACTAAATCCTGCACAAGTAAGCAAACTAACTTACTTGGGCTGCTTCATTGAACTTGAACACATTCAGTGTGCACATACCTTCAAAAAGCTAATTTGTTTGGATATGGCTGCTTTGGGAAACACAAGATATGTGTAATTGGAGGAGACGGGCAAATCTGTTTCCAAATGTCTGAGTGGCAGTAAGTCATAGTAGATAGAAAAACGCCCGTTAGTGCCAGTTGTTGACTTAGGTGGGGAACATCTTGGAAGACATATGTCCTTATAAACAGGACCAAGGTTTTTCTCTGCATCTCCGCATTCAGAGACTAAACCTTCCACTGAAATTTGAGGATGCCTCATTTATTCCTTTCTAGTAAGTTAGTTCTGTCTTTAACAGAGTAAATACATTAACCTTCCTGAGGACAGCTGTGTCATTGGCCAAGAACGTCATGTAATGTATACATTAGATGTAGTACGTCGTAGGGATAGGATTTTTAAATCTGCAGCAACAAGGCAGACTTAATTAAAATATCAGTAAGACCAAGTTGCATAAAGAATATAAGCGTAAAAAGAAAATTGCAAAACCAAGGACTTGGGTGGTAGGTGACCACTGAATCATCACTACACTTGTGTAGTCATCACTACGCTTGCGTTGTGATCATTACTACACTTGTGTAGATACCATTGTACTTACACTACAAAGTAATACCTTTTTTTTCAGTAAGATTCTAGGCTCTTTCACTGCACAGTTGCTACTTCAGCAAAGGCCATAATTGAAGACAAGACTGTTATCCTCTCTATAGATCAGGTGAGATGTGATGATTTTTAACAGCAGACTTCACAATAAGTCAGTGGTACCCCAGACGTGACTAGATTCAGCAATCTCAAATTATACTCTGTATGCAGAAAGGAATATGCTTTGTCAGGCATTAGCTTCTGCTTTTTCCCCCGTAAACAT